ATACATCTCCCTCCAAGTTTCCTCGTCACAGGCCCCTACAAGGTTCATTTTCAGTGGGGGAAGTGCCCCGTTGGAAGACAACCGTTTGAAAAAAAACCTGAACTATGCCAGAACACCACTCCTAGGACGCAACGCCGCGCATCACCGTTACTGTTGCGTCTTGACGGTCTTGAATCGTGCCAGGACACCGCTTCTGGGGCTTCAACATCACGAATGAATGCAACAGTTGCGCCCTGACAACCCAGCATCGTGCCAAACGCAGTTTTGGTAATATAAGCACGAATGCCCTTGAAACGGTTGTAAGCTCTTGAAATGAATGCGCGCGGCGCTAATGCGAAAACAACAGTTTGAAAACCACCCGCCAGCTATCCGCGAAGTTGTCGCAAACGTTTAAGACGCATGTGCGCGAGCTGAGGCAAGAGCCACATGTTGAAAACCACCCGCCCTCCATCCGTGAAGTTGTCGCATACTATCAAGACATGTGCGCGGCGCTCAGGCAGAGCCACAGTCTGAAAACCACCAGCCCTCTATCCGTGAAGCTGTTGCACACTTTTATGACGAACGCGCGCGGCGCGGAGGCGAGAGCTTCATGTTGGAGACCACCCGACTTCCTTCCGCGAAGCTACTGCAAATTTTAAGGACGCATGTGTGCGGCGCTAAAGCGAGAGACACATGTTGAAAACCACCCGGCCTCCATCCATGAAGCGGTTGCAAATTTCCAGGTGTTGGATCACGAACGGTGAGGAAGCATTAGGCGAGACGCTTGGCCCGAGTTTTCGACCAGCTTCGGGGCGCGACAGGGAGGAGTCAATCATGAGGACATGCAATTGAGGAGGATGAGGAGGAGGAGGGGGAGGAGGAGGAGGAGGAAAAGGAGGAGGAGGCGAAGGAGGAGGAGGAGGAGGAGGAGGAGGGAGGAGGAGGAGGAGGAGGAGGAGGAGGAGGAGGAGGAGGGAGGGAGGAGGAGGAGGAGGAGGGGGCACCTGTGCCACTGAGTGCCCTCGGGCGTCCCAGACAAACAGGCGGGTTGCAGCCCGATCGTCGCCCCTGTTTGCCCGTAGTGGGTTCGGGGGAGAAAAAATTACAGTCGTCGCCACGTTTGCGTCCCCCTTGCAGTGGCCCACCTGGTACCCCGCCAGGCTTCGGGCGGTGACGCGGGTCGCCTGCGGGCGGCTCATTGGGGGATCCCCACCCGTTTTTCCCACGGCCCGGGTGCACCGCCCGGTGCGTGCGCGGGGGCGGGAGTCGGCCAGGGGAGTGGCGCCCCTCGGCCAGCTTGGGGCGGCACTGGGGCGTCGTTAACTGAGCCCTGCGGGGTGGGAGCTTCCTGAAAAACTGGCGGTGGGCAGTGAGGCCTGGCATGTTCGCGCATTGTTTCTGCCGTGTTCTGCGAGGTCGTAGGGCTGCATGGGGCGTCTCCCTGGCTCACCTTTAGCATCGTGCTATCGGACCTCCGCTCGGCTTGTCCACCTCCAGCTGGAGGGGCGCCTTGCTGGCCGCCGTGCGTTACCGACCTCGGCCGCCATGGGTAACAGAAACAGAGGAGGAGGGGGAGGAGGAGAGGAGGGAGAGGAGGAGGAGGAGGAGGAAAGAGGAGAGGAAGACGCGAAGGAGCTTGGTGGGTGGGGGAGAGGGATGGGGAGGGGGAGGGAGGAGGAGGAGAGGAGGAGGAGGAGGAGGAGGAGGGAGGAGGAGAAGGAGGGGCGGTCGGCCCACGCTGGGCGCCGAGGTGGACGACGACACGCTCGAGGAGGAGAGGGACTTCGGGCCAGGGCCGAGCACGTACGGTGCCAAAAGCGCGCACAATGGCGGCGACGAGTGAGCCGGCACCCTTCTCCCCCACCCACCAAGCTCCTTCGCGTCTTCCTGTTCCTCCTCCTCCTCCTCCTCCTCCTCCTCCTCCTCCTCATCCTCATCCTCATCCTCATCCTCATCCTTTTCCTGCTCCTTTTCCACCTCCTCCTCGTCCTCCTCTTCCTCGAAGCTCGAAACTGCATACTGTGTCACCACGAGTGGTCGAGACCCTTGAACCCCTCCAACCCGGCGGGGCCGGGGGGAGGGGCAGAAAATGTCAAGAGGTAAAGAGAGGGAGAGAGAGAGAGAGAGACAAAAAAAAGAGAGAGAGAGAGAGAGGGAGAGAGAGAAGGGACAACCGAACCGCGGACACGACGCTAGGCAGCAGGAGGAGCAAGAAGAAGGACTGCGAGCGCCTGTCTGCGCCAGCGCTGGCGGGCAGTGCTCGTGCGGTGATGGCCCGCGCGTGGGCCCCGCCCTCCCTGGGGGGAAAAGAGGGGGGTGGCCAACCTCCGGGCGTGCTCCCTGGGACAGGGGCCCACGCCATCCCAGCCTACAGTCAGGAACTTTGGCTCGGCGTGTCGCTCCGCCGGCTCTGGCCGGCCACGCTTCGGCGCGACGCGCCAACCACGTCCCAGTCCCCAGGCGTCAACCTCCCAAGCGATTCGGCAGCCTTCCGCCCCGCGGAGCGAAGTGACACGCTATCCGCTCGCAGGGCATAGCGTGCCACCGGGGCCGCCGCCGCGACACGCGAGGCAAAAGCTCCTGACCGCAACTTGGCCACAGGTCAGGAGGAATCGGCTCCGGGCAAGAGTGGCCCTTCGCCGGGGTGACCTTCGGTGCGGGCTTGCAGAGGTGCCCCCAGTATGTGGTCTGCGCGCTTGGATTTGGCCTTCCCATAGCCCCCTAAGGCCGCGCGCCAAACGTCTTTCTTGCCTAGGGCCACCCCTGCGTGTAGTCGAAGGCGGAAGGCGGGAGAGACTCCTGGTGAGCGCAGTGTCGCGGCAGAGTGGGCGGCGCGGGTGGGGGGTCGGGTGGAGGCGAGCGTGTGGCAGACGGTGCCAAGCAGATGATTGGCGCAGCAGCGTGGTCGAGGAAGAGTTCGCGGAGGCTGGTACGTGAGCCGCCTCCTCCTCCTCCTCCTTCTCCTCCCCCTCCTCCTCCTCCCCCTCCTCCTCCTCCCCCTCCTCCTCCTCCGCCTCCTCCTCATCATCATCTCATCATCATCATCATCATCATCATCATCCTACTCCTCCCCTCCTCCTCCTCCTCCTCCTTCTCCTCCTCCTCCTCCTCCTCCTCCTGCTCCTCCTCCTCCTCCTCCTCCTCCTCCTCCTCGTTCTCCTCACCCTCCTCCTCAGCCTCCTCCTCTCTTTCTCTCTCTCTCTCTCTCTCGAATCGC